AATAATACTTAGGTGGATAAGTTGAAAGAAATCGATTTATGAAATAGTTCTTACTTACTTTATTGCTCTGCATGTGAAAAACACAATGCGTTTCATTTTCTTATTATAGAAGAAATAATTAAAAGACCATAAGCATCCATCTTCTCCAAATGGATCTGATACAAAGTCTGGATTGTAACTAAAATAATTTCATACATTTAATTTAACTTGTACCGTTCCCGTATATGTTTTCGAGTAATTCGTATGTTTTACCTATAAATATCACATTCGTTTAATGATATCTCATCATCGATGGCCGCCCAAAGCGCTGTTCTAAGAGTACGATAATGATCACCCGCAGTTGCACTCAGATTGCTGTCTACTGCATTCATGACCCAAGTTAAACTTGGTTCCTTACTAAATTCATGACTCTTAGCATCAGAGAAATCATAATCCGGGTGAAAAGCTGAATTCAAAGTGGCAATCAAATAGAATAATGTCTTTCTACTGATTGTGTCGCATAGTGGACCATCTTCATCACCAGAAACGCTGCGGCTGTAGAAAAAAAGTATATAATAAATATAGGATAACAAAATAAACATAAGATATCTTGAACTTTAATATTGAAGGAGAAAACATTCATAATCACATATTTATAGTTCCTAATTTTTCAGTTTAATCAACAAATCATGATACCTAAAATACCTTTGAGCAGGTGATGTTCCCAGAGAAGTTTGTGGTGGTGATAAAGCTTGAAGATCGTGAGGAGCAAATCCCTGTTCCGCATTGAAACGTTTGTATAACTGTTTATCATTTCCAGCCATTTTGCAAGAGTAACTCTCTATTCTGAATATTGAAAAGACAGTAAATACAAAACATTGTTTCACAAAATTATACAACTGATAGAAGAAATATAAGCCAACTCGACCTACCGGCCTATTATTTTACTGTCTCCGGTCTTGATGGACAAGGCACTGTTGATAGCTTCGAAACGTGTACTCTCCAACAACTTCATTTTGTCATTAACAACGGCTTCCCTCTTACAATGTATAAAAGCAGCGGTTCTGGGCTGAACACTCTTGATGCATCTCCTAGCGAACTGCTTCTTATGTCATTAACACTCCGTTACATCGGAGTTGATGACCTGTTGGTGTTATTCTGGCAAAAACTTGACCTCGTTTCTCAGTCGCAACGGCCAAGGCGTTCAATACAATCGAAATGTTAAAAAGCTTCTTTGACATCGAAGACTTATCGAGTCCTTGTACATCTTTCTTATGGGTATGAAAATTCCTTTCCTTTTCGAGTGTACAAACTTAATAGCGGACGTGATGATTTTTCCCGCGACGCCGAGCTTGTACATCACAGATTCCTAATTAAAAATATCGAGACGGAATTCACGTCCGTGCCTAGCCCGATTTCAGCAATCGGTGGTTGAATTAAAGTTTCAGCCGTGACGGAGTACTCGGTTGGCTTCTCGCAGCCGCAATCAGTGACGTACCAGCTGAAGAGAGGGAAAACGAATCGCGAAGGACAAAGAACCACCCTTGAGAAACAAAAGATGCTGTTTTCTCAATCAGCAGAAACCCACACTAAACACAAAGTTCTTTAACAGTGCTGCCTCAATAGATAGAGATCTCTTATCGGGGAAGTCAGCTAAACAAAGTGACTAACAAACTTCACAACATTCGCTACTGGTGAAAACAATCCATAATCGCGGACATTGTTGTTACTATCACTTGAATTACCACGGTCACTGGACGAACAACTACAACACCTGAAAATTCAATGAAATTACGACTGGCCCGATCAAAGGTCGACCAAACTTGAACCCCTTTTGCTCTTGTTTCGTACCGTGTTTCCAATTATTTGCGCCTCGATGTCAGGTACGCTTGTATGCAATAACGATATATGCGTCCTACGTGACAGAAATAGCACAGCGAAGCGTCTTGAACTTCCCTCTCTCTTGCTCTTTTTACCTCGTTACCTCCCTCCTCTTGTCTTTGTCGAACTCGTGGACATCTGCTCGTAGGGGGGATGTATGTGTGAATTTCAACTGACCAATCGTAAGCGCTTCTAATAAGAACAGGTTTGTGTGCAACTTTAGGACGCCATGCAGTGCGTTTGTGTGCGCGTATGGTTGCCTGTACGCGCCTAACTACGGTCGCGTATTCGGTTTAATTCTAACCTCACAGAATGCTGACAGGAATTCGAATTTATTGGTAAAATGTCAAAACGTTGGGGCAGCGACTATGTGGTCACAGAGCACCGAGATTTGCAGGTATATTATCTTGCGTTGTTGATCTACGTCCAAGACTCGATTCTTCTCTAAACTTGAAATTTTTATTTTTAACCGTATAACTTCCGAATATTTTTCACTTCGAAAATATTTTTGTCTGTTTCAGGCTAATAGTATGGCCGTGGATGCGACTGGCAACTACGTGTTACTTGCCGGGTAAATAGCGACACATATAGACTCTGTTTACACCAACTTTTTTTCTTGAGTTTTGTACCTGTATTTGCTGCTAAATATTTTGGTCAGTTAGGACATTCAAGGAGTAAATCGTACTATGTTATACAATTCTTCTACTGTTTTGCTTACAATCTATTTTTTTTTCTGTAAGCTATGTTTCATTTATGGTATTGCTTTCACATGTTTTTAGGCGTAAATGTTTCGCTGTGAAACATCTCGACGAAGGTGCAGATACTTTAAGGAAATTCCAGAGGCAAAGCAAATATGAAATTGGTGCCACAGAATGGAATCCCACGAGTCAAAATTCTCATATATGTGCTGTCTCTGTTAGTAATTAAATAATATACATTTTGATAATGTTTCATATTGTTTAATCAACTTTCAATTGTAGAGTAACACACGCATAGAAATATTGTCACTCTCTGGAAGTGGTGGCTATGACTTACAGACAACAAATAGTCTTAAAGCACATACGAGAGTAGTTAGTGACTTAAACTGGCATCCCAAAGAACCTGACATTATAGCTTCCTGTAGCATTGATACATTTATACACATTTGGGATATAAAAGATCAAAGGAAACCCTGTTTATCTTTGTCTGCAGTTGGTAGGTTCAATCAGTTAAATGAAGAAGTTGTTTAAGAAGTATTTAAATATAGTGGAATATATCTAAATATATAATTGAATTTGCAGCAGGATCTTCTCAAGTGAGGTGGAACAGTTTATCCCCTAACATATTGGCCACAGCTCATGATGGAGATATTAAAATATGGGATCAGCGAAAAGGAAATAGCCCTGTGCAATATATAGCTGCTCACCTGACAAAAGTATACACTTGTCTTGAATTTAATGGAAATATTTACGTATTTATATACTTCAATAATTCATAAATTGAATAAGATATTTATAAAGACCTAAGTTATTTTAGATACATGGTTTAGATTGGTGTCCATTTCAACAAAATCAACTGGCCACTTCTAGTCAGGATTGTACAGTGAAGATCTTTGATATTAGCAATCCACGTAGAGCTGAAAGTATTGTGACAACAAACTCACCAGTATGGAGAGTTAGATACACGGTAAAGATAATACTCTGTTCAATAAAATTCAAGGTTGTTCATGTTCATAAAATGATACAATCCATTTACAGCCGTTTGGAGAAGGATTAGTAACGATAGTGGTACCGCAATTACGGCGAGGAGAAAACAGTTTGTTATTATGGAATACTACAAATCTGAGTGCACCAATTTACACTTTTTCAGGACATACAGATGTTGTCCTCGAATTTCAATGGAGACATCAAAAATTAGGTATATACTTTACAAATAAATTTTTCTATGAAACAGAAAAAATATGAAATTTGTTCATAATTCGTAGAAAATAGCGACTTCGAATTAATTACTTGGTCAAAGGATCAATGTTTGAGGATATATAAAATTGATCCAATTTTAAAGAAGGTACGTGCGTGTTCATTAATCGATAAAGTGTATTCGTCATGTGCATTGAAATAAAAGAAATACTTGTTTAGTTGTGTGGGCATGGCATGGATGACAGCGCATCTATTTATACACAGTACTCGGAAGATAATAATATGAGTATGTATGCCTTACTTATGAATGAAAGAAGCATTAAGTTTCATTGAACTAACAGATGTTTCAATATAGGAACACTACAGTCCATTCAACAGTTACAACTCAATGATACTCAAAACGACCGTGAAATGAATTGCATAACAACAAAAGCAGATGAATCTACACTGAATTATGAATCGGATACGTATATCGAGAATAACAAAGAAATATCGTCCCCAACGCAACCGAAGACTCTGCAACAAGAATTTTCTTTAATAAACATGAACATACCGAACATAGAGGTGATATACGCAAAGCTAAACCAAAGCTTCATAAAATAAAAATTTGTCTAATATTTTAGGTCAACGCGATGGATGCTTTAGAGCGTAGTTGCACTGTAACAGCGTCCAACAAAAGTTACAATGTTATATTAAAAGTCAATTTCCCTGCGAATTACCCGTACAGCGCGCAACCGACATTCCAATTCTGCCCTGGGACAACAATCGACAACGCAACGATGGCGAAGTTGTTAAAAGTGTTAAAACAAACTGCTCAGCAACGGGTTAAAAAGAACAGATCCTGTTTAGAACCGTGTCTTAGACAATTAATTGCGACTTTAGAACAAGTAAAGAAAGAAATACTCATTTTTCGTTCTCTTATGTTAATCTTCAATAATGCTCAACCTATTTTCTTAATTCTTTGTAGACATGCAAAAAGGACGAAAACGAAACTAGTCACATAGGATATGACATTCAGGATAATGCAAACTTTTTAAGTTCCTCTAACATGTATACAAACTATCAAGATGCCTATATACCATTTCCTAGGACATCAGGAGCCAAGTTTTGTTGTGTAGGTATGTAAACAAATAGTAGAATACAGAAGATCTGTATACTAGAATTCAATGCAGTGTTTCAATAGGTATCCTCGTGTGTTTTGGTCGTGCGTCTTACACTAGAAGGTCATCGATGAAACCGGAAAGTACGACACCTAGGGCCCTATCCGCATTAGGAAACGGAATCGGGAATGGAGAACATTTTATGCACATGTATTCGAATTCATACGTAGAATCGAATGACAACATTCCTATTAGTTCCTTCTACTTCCAAGACCGTGTAAGCGAATACATTTTTCAATGTTCGCGATATAAGATACTTATGATTTTTATTAACGGTCGATCTGGGTTGTTTAGAAAATGAATCGCGGATTACATAACACCAGCAGAATGACTCACAGATCGTGTTGTAAAAATTATCACTTCATGGTAATCACGTATGATGCTTCGTCATTATTTTTCGTTAGCAAAGAATTGGCTGAGAAATACGTGTAAGTGGACTGATAACATTCCTATGCGATTCCTGTGTTAATGTACATTAACCAAGCAATCTTGTTTGACCTACAGAATTAATATCACCGATATCCCGGCGATGTGCCAATACAATGCAAACGTTGCTGCGCAATTAGAACGTCCGGATTTAGTACAAGCATGGTGTTTAGCCGCCCTTGTGATATCTCAACCGGTTTCAAGCGTTGGACAGAATTCTTGTCAATCCCCTGATATAGATGCTCCATGGCCACTACATCCTTTCGGTCAAAATTTGATTCATTCTTTGTACGTCGTAATTGAGTCAACATTACATAGTATTACTTCTTAACACGTTTGCGAACAGTAAAAATTTGAACGAGCTGCAAAACTACTCAGTACCGAGTTGCAGTACTCTGAGGGTTAAAGTGCTATATAGAATTAAATGTATGATAATATAGCTTATAAATTTGAATGTTATGGCGTTCATGTCATTTTGCATCACATTGAAAATGAACGTTATAGCATTCACGTCTGCAAACGTGTTAAGCCACAGAAACAATATTATACAAGAATTATTTTTTGTTTAGGATACAGCATTACGCCAACCAGTCAGACATTCAAATGGCGGGAATGCTGAGCTGTGCGTTTAGTTATCGTTCAGAGAATCTAGATGTTGTTCAAAACCGGCTAAGTAGCAAATCCGTTAACGTCAGTGTAAGTATGATGCAACTGCTTTGGTGTGTTAATCAATGTGTTTGGAATGGCCTGAGATAACCATGATTCTTGTAGTATCATTCTTATATGTCTTGATCATATCTTGTCTTCTGTTCATAAAATTTGTTAAGAATGCTTTTTAAGTACAATCACTCATAACTCATGTTTCGATATTGGCTTTTCTGAAATGCAGTATATCACATCTTTCATAATCAGCGTATATTTGTTTCTGCCGCTGCATGAATAAATACGTTTTTAGAACATACGTGTAATCCTGTACGATACAGCGGTGTATCAGATGGCTAACAATGTAGTTGATTAACACTAAACGTACCGCGACCGATCAAATGGCCGGTTTCAAAATACGATTTAAAACTGTGCATTTTCTTTGGTTCATTTCACTTCATTGACCCATATATTGTTGGATTAAACAGTTTTTCAGTTTTCATCTTTCCCCGTGTTTCTGTTTGCATCATGAAAAATTTACTGTCTAAGTTGGATACTTCTGTTTTGTAACCGATTATTTGACTGGTTACAGTAGGAATTGGTACATGCAAAGTGCCAGTACGTTTAGTGTTAAAAATATCGAAACGAAGGATAGATATACTGTACCATTGTACTGCAGACTTGTTTCGTTTCAGTATTTTTTATACTATTTCGAAAGTGCGAGATAATTGATGTAATATTATCTTTGTTATAGAGGCTTTCTACAGGAAAATGGTGGTTGAAGGTAAGGCATGGTTTCTGAATTCTGTATGATTGTGCGTGTTTGAAACACAGTGGTTCTTAGGATTCTCTATCATGGTGATATTTGTTATTGTCTTACAGCATCGGAGTGGAAGTGTCGCGATGCCTCAGAGCATGCAGGTTTGGCCATGCTTGATTTTAAAATGCCAAACGATTCAATTATAATTCGTAGTAATTAATCTAATACATATATGTGATGTACTGTCTGTTGTATTAACGCCTACTATTACTTGCACAGAAGACAAATGTTTTTGTGTTGAAAGTGATCACAGACATAATGCCTTTTTTTCACGTGTTAATGTGTATTGTGTTTACATCACTGAAATCACATTTACCAACCAAATCATAGTTTATGTGATATTCGTTGTATATTTCTAGCCTGGCGGTTCGCCGTACCATACGATACATCTAGCCGATACCACGTTAGAAGGATGGAATTTTCAAAATTTGAAGCAACACAGATCTAACTCGTGGTCTGACTCCCTTGACTATTTAAAGTTCATTCAGGATTCTCTTGGCGATTCCGTAAAAAGTATTAGGTATCTAATTTAATATATTTGCTTTCTCAGAAAATAAATTTGCACATACTTCTATGAGAATATTTTATTTGCTTGTACAGATTGCTCGATGAAAAATACACTACTCTTTACGATGGGTACAAGAAATCATATGCGGAAGTGTTGCACAGGTGGCGTCTATTGGATGCTCGAGCACAAGTATTAAAGCACGTTAGCACGACACCTTTGGATACGCACAAAGGCGTGGAATTCCAAAGTGAATGTCAATTGTGTACTAAAGTTAGCAGAGGTCCTCAATGTATAAATTGTAAACGGCTCGCCTTGGAATGCGTAATTTGTCACATTTCTGTGAGGGGTATGTAGATCACCAATTATGAATCAGTTCCCTTCGTAGGTTAATAACGTTACACACTTATTTCTTTATAATAAATTCAGGTCCAAGTAATTTCTGTATATTTTGTGGTCATGGAGGACACACACAACACTTAGCAGAATGGTTCACTAACGAGACATTGTGTCCGACAGGCTGTGGATGTTGTTGTTTACAGGAGAGTTCTACTCTCTTAAAAGTGTAAATAGGACAAATGAAAATTTGTATATAGCTGAAACAGTATGTATATACATATATATATAACTGATGTTACAAAAAAATAATAAATGTTTTTTTCTGGAATATGATTCGAAATTCTGAGGGATTGTTACATTTACAATGAACTTTTTTCATGAACTTATTCACTGGGGGAATTGTAGCTTCGGTTTCATTATCTTTACCCTTTCATTCGGTTGACACTTAATCAACTGCTTCTATCTCATCAGTTGAAACAGTTCCAAGAAATATTCTTTCGAGTTCTCTCATTTCAACTATAAAAGAAATACGACTCGTAGAAAAGGAATTAACTGTGAAGAATAAATGATAAATACCAGCATTACGACGATGTTTTTCACGCGCAAGATATTCTTCTCTTGCAACTCTATTTCTCTCTCTATATTCTCGCTGCAACGTTTCTACTGCTGTGTTTTTTCTTCGAACATCAAAACCGTAAATTATACCAGCAATTAAACTTGTCCATCTGAATAACTGAAGATAAATATTATTTCGCGAGAATGAAAGATTTGATTAACTAATAATAAATAATACCTTTATCAGAGGGCTAACTTCTAAAGGAATTAAATTAATTTTCATCCCCGCCATTAAAATAAACTTCGCCGTATAATTAAACCAAATTTATTTAAAGACAGTTAAAAACAACTTAAAATATTAGTATGAAATACAATTATCCTTTTAACGGATCGCGATAAGTTAGACGCAATGTTTGATGATCAAATTAAAATTAACAAATGAGTAACTAAAAGGTCAGTAACCGACAAATTCAATGAAAACCATTGTTGTCGTGTTTTTATTGTTATATTGGAAATGCGTAGAAGTACATAGGAGCTTCTGAATTCTTAATAAGAACTAATATCTATAATGATCAGCCTTGTAAGGTCCTTCCACAGGAACACCAAGATATTTGGCCTGCTCTTCTGTGAGTTTTGTGAGCTTCACACCGAGGTGATCCAAATGTAGCGCTGCAACTTCTTCGTCCAGTTTCTTCGGTAACATGTAAACATCGACTGAATATGACTTTGGTTTCGTCCACAACTCTATTTGTGCCAGCACTTGATTCGTGAACGAATTACTCATAACGAAACTCGAGTGTCCCGTTGCGCATCCAAGGTTAACTAAACGACCCTCAGCGAGGAGGATAACATGTCTGAAATGGCAGAACCTTATGTAAACTGGGAGAGAAGGGTCTGATTTTCACTATCTAATCTCAAAAATGGTAAGACGATATTATAATCAACTTGAAATATTTTTCAACTCGTGAGTTGTCAATTATCTTAATATTCTTCTTTAAAGACATTTTTAGGCTCAAAACTATAAATAGGAATGCTACTATGTAACTGCCCACCTGCCATTCTTCAACTGGTATCTGTCTACTTGGGGCTTAATGTTCACTTTCTCAACCGCATTCTTTTCAAGCCAAGCGACATCTATTTCACAGTCGAAGTGGCCAATGTTGCAAACAATAGCATCTTCTGGCATATTCATGAAATGCTGACCCAATATGATATCCTTGCATCCAGTGGTGGTAACATATATTTGTCCTTTGGTGGACGCTTCTTCCATCGTGGTTACCTAAGAATTACAGGTACAAGAAGTTCATTGATGTTCTTCGCTATTCTTTGGAAATATTCTCGACACTCTTTCTTCCTGGTGTTACAATAATCACCTCGTATCCTTCCATAGCTGCTTGAAGTGCGTTAATGGGATCGATTTCTGTGATTATGACACGACCACCCAGTGCCCTGAGACTTTGAGCGCATCCTTTGCCAACGTCGCCATATCCAGCCACTATACAAACTTTCCCAGCAATCATTACATCTGTAGCTCGTTTTATGCCATCGATCAATGATTCTCTACATCCGTACAGATTGTCGAATTTACTCTAGTTGGAGAAATGAAAATTTGAATCGTACGAAATTCCAAATTCAACGATAACGAAGATGAAAGATTAGAGAATAGCTGACATGTACGGGACAGACCGTAGTTGTTGGAAATACGTGTTGGAAAATTCGTAAATGATCAAGGTTTAGGTGAACAACTGGATTATTAACTATGCATCGAACGAACCTTTGTTACTGAATCATTGACGTTGATTGCAGGGACTTTAAGAGTTCCTTCTTTCAACATACGATACAGATTATGCACACCGGTGGTGGTCTCCTCTGAAAGGCCACGGCACTCTTTTAAATATTCAGGAAATTTGGTGTGGACCAGATTGGTCAGATCACCACCATCATCGAGAATGAGATTCAGTGGTTTGCCATCACTGAAGACAAGAGTCTGCTCTATGCACCAAAGATATTCTTCATTTGTTTCACCTTTCCACGCGTACACAGGAACACCTGTTTTTGCAATAGCTGCGGCTGCGTGATCCTGCGTGCTGAATATATTGCATGATGACCACTGAACCTAGTGAATTAATAGGGTCGGTATATGTTTGAAATTATATTGTATGCAGAGTGGTCTCATAGATATTATTTTATTTGTAGTGTTGGTAAATTTCTTAAACAAATGTTGTATCATAAATTTTCATCATTGATGATATGTTGGTGTGGGTCTTTAGAAGTAAAAGTCTATTCGTGTATGAGAGATAAATATATTTTTAATATTTTAGCTGAAGTACCTAAGCCTAATCATATATAAAGTGAGTAATAAGAGTGTAAGTGACAGTGATAAGTATTAGATTATCACAGTGTTGCATAACAAAGAAGCAAATTTGATTAACTCATAAATGTTTAAAATAAAGTTTTCCATTTTGAACACCATAAAAATAAGTTCCATCATAATAGTAGTATTATGAATACTTTCTTATCTGATGTGATCCTAATCTCAAGTCAAGTACAATTTAAAAGTTTCTTAGTGTATTGTACCATTGTTAGAGGATCTTGTGAAAGATGCAAGGTCATGATCTACTTCAGATAAGTACACATACATATGAAAATGCAAACTATTTTTGACGTCAATCCGTCTTTCATATGATGTTCCATTCTTGTTTTTTTCCGCTGATATATTTTTATAACATAATAGAATACAACTCATAAATTTAACAAAAAGAATAAGCAGCATTCAAATTACAAATTGTTCCCGCCATTGCATCATCAATATTAAGATTTTTTGTTTATAGTGTAATAAGAGAAAAATTATTAAATTAATGTTTTTTTTCTTCGGTAAATAATAATTTTATTTACAGATTCGCTTGTAAGCTTTATTTTCGGTTTATTTCGGTAATAAATACTCATGCCAGAACTCCATTTTACAGTCACATGCGATCATACAAAAATGATTGAAATATGAAAATCCTTTAATCCAACTTACCTCAGCTCCGAGCTCAACAAGGGTTTCAATGAGAACAGCGGTTTGTACAGTCATATGCAAGCAACCCGCGATACGTGCACCTTTCAAAATTTTTTCAGGGCCGTATTTTTTCCTGATTGCCATGAGTCCTGGCATTTCGTGCTCGGCTAGGGTGATTTCTTTACGGCCCCATTCCGCCAAGGACATATCGGCTTTAACGAAAAAAAACGAATTATTTATAAATCACAATGAAATAATTATTATCAATAAAACCGTTTTAATTTCACTGCATTTGTTACTGATATTTCCATGTTCAACCAATATTCAAAGCATCGGCTTTACAATATGATACATTTAAATATTTAACTTTTTTAATTGAGTAATATATTAAAATAAATACTTTTACATTCATGGAAAACCATTGCAAATGCTGAAGATACATTACATATATATATTTTAAGCACTTCACGTTCATTTAAATCAACAATGAATTGCGACATACTTGCAAATCTATTATTACTTCATTTCGGTACAATGTTGCCTCAGAATGGATAGTTGCATGTTCAGTATTTTTATTATTTGTATAAATGAAAAGAAATAATAATTCCGAATATTATAAAATAAAATGAATAGTTTAACAAACATGTAGCCATGTAGATTAATCGGCGTACAAACGTTCTGTAATTCTATCATTATCCGTACACGAAGAGTACTGTGTTTTAAATACCATGAATGGAGGTTATAGATTTTGCTCCAAAATAATAACCACGTGTCTGACTGAAGTAACTCTAAATTTGATTTAATTCTTTACTTACCAACGCGGTATGCAGGCTTGGTAGTCATTTTGTCGGACAGATCTCAGCCGACTCACAGATATCAAGTTACGTTGCGATTTCACAGAAAAAGAAACACACGTTTTCGTCGACGAGTTGCGGTAAACTACGGTTATGAGACGTCGACGATCTTCCTTAAAACGATGCCGCTAGATATAGTGACTACTAGTTGGTCACGTGACATATCTTTAAATAAGTATATAGTAGAAAATAAGAAGAGTTCCATTTTCCCAATGGATGGTAAGTTACCGATACATATGTAGATCGGTAAAGTAAATACCTGACTCACGAATCCATATTAAATATGCTCGTAAATGACAACGTCATTAAGTTTTAATATTTGTATTTAAAATATAAGTTTCTTTTAACAATACGTTATATATTGTTACTCGGGGAAAGGACTAATGTCAAAATCAGTAAATTTCGACCCATCGAGAATCATCTGTCTACGAAATTCTTGAGCGTCTCTTTTCTCTTGATATAATACTGGATCTTTATCGATTCGCATCAGATTAGGTAACATTGCCAATACAATTTGCCTGTACACGCTTTCTTCGCTTTCTTCTCTTTCAATTATCGCAGGATTTTCCAATATTATCAGGGTTTCTAGTCCAGGCAAACAACGTAATTTCTCCAGCTCGGAAATTTTCATGATTTCATTGTCCCGGAGGTTCAAATAATTAAGTTTGATACAACGCGAGTCAAATCCGTCTAAACTCGACAACTTATTGCTCCTCAGATGTAGAATTTTTAAATTAACTAGGATCTCTAGATTCTCCAGCCTTTCAATTTGGTTTTCCGCGAGGTATAAAGATATTAATCCAGGGAAAAATATTCCGTTCGTTGTGGTTAATATGTTTCCACGTAATTCGAGACTTTTAAGGTTCTTCAGGTCATAAGGATTCAGAGTGATCTCCTTAATGTCATTGTGGTTTAATTCTAGATACTCCAGATGGTTGTGAGAGATGCCTGCAGTGCTTTTTAACTTATTATTGTTTAAAGTCAGCACCTGATACGATTAAAAAGTAAAATAATTATCTTGAGCAATAACATTGCTTTTGAACGTAAACGAACACTCATTTTGTACATGATTATCATTAACCTGCAAATAGGACATGGGTTCCATTTCTGCGGAAGATATCCTATTTTTATCAGCTTGAATCATTAAAAGATAAGTCATTTTTGTGAGAACACAAAGAGCTTCCATAGTTAAATTGTTGCCAGAAATATCCACAAAGAGGACATATTTGAATCTTGGTATAATTTGAATATCCGTGAGGCCTCTGTTAGAAGCGTTCAAACCTAAATAAGCATAACCTAGACCTGAATCACATTTTCCTAATGTGTGGAGACATTCTCCAGCTTCTGAAAATGTTAAGATTCGCGAAACATCTTCATAAACTTTTTGGGTATCTTCACTTGACTGCTCTTCATATTCTCCGTTTGCTTCTCCGTAATCGGCTTCCATTGATTTATATTTAATTACAATTTCTCACCATTTTCATATAAATTCTGTTTAGTAAAGATTGTCGAATATTGCCTTTTTAAATTAAGATTGAATTTCTTATAAAATAGTGCAATTCCAATAGTACCAACTGAATGAAAGCTTGATGACTACGCCGTAGATGGCGCAATGAGCATAATTCAATAAACACATTTATATATAAATATTGAAAATTTAAAACTATGTATAATATAATACTTCCAATCGATTTTACAATACCGTGTAATTAATAAAAAAGATATTATCACATATGTTCTTTACTTTATTGTCGTTAACAGTTCTTTAATTTCGTGTTTGTAGGTAGCACAATGAAAGCGGTATAATAAAGAGCTGCTATTGGCCATAACTTGTATAGCCTATCAGAGATTGGTTTCCGCTTATGCAGTTTATCCCGATTGGCTGAGACTAGCCAAATTCAAGTTCAAATAAATGTAGCGGATATTGTTTAACCGTCGTTTGACCGCTGTCGGAGTGTAAAACTTGTAACAGTGTTCTTTCAATTTATACCGGTGAATTCCGATCGGTTTGTTCTTGCGCTCCCTCTAATAGACACCATGTGTCCACGAGCAAAATAAACACTTTATTGTTATGAGAATATTAGGTAATTTTGACAATAAACATTTGACTTCGTAAACTGTTACTCGTGTGTCTGCGAGGGATTTGATATTGTGTTATTGTGAGCAAAGAGGTTTGTTTTATAAAATTGTCACTGTCGTTCGTATACATTCTTCTATTCACGAACAACATACTCTAAATGTTATTGAAATCTGGTTACAATTGACACGACCTTAAATGATTTCATAAACATTTATATTTGAAGATGCATGAATGGTGGAAAGGGAATAGATTCATTTGATAAAAGTTTGATTGATGCTATTGTTTGGTTGATATTTGAGTAATGCATGTGTTGTTGCTTGAACTGAGCTTTTGGAAGATTTATTAATTATTATTGTACTTGTATGAACAGTACCTTCTTGTTTTGTAGATGGAGTCACGCTTACCAAAGCCAAAAATTCAATTAGGAAACTCAATCAGTGGAACAATTACTAACAACATGAAAGTTAATAATCAGAAGATGACAAAAGACCAAAATGTCCTGCCACAATCAAGTTCAAATAGTACTTCAGAGACACTGAAGAAGGCTAAAAGTACAATAAACATAAATTCTAAATCTGCAAATGAAAATAAGCCTCCACCAAAACAAAATCTTGTTAGATCGAAAACTATGTCGTCCATTGTTACAAAAGGAGTTAAGAGACCAGCTACTGGTACTACAATGCACACAGAAGCCAAAAAACAATTTACCAGGCCTGTAAAGCCAACTATACAAAGAACTGGCACAATGTTAACTGGTAATACAACCAATAAGACAGTACAAAATGCAACAGGTAAAACTGCAACAGCAGCTGGAGCAGCTAAACCTTCTAAATGGGATTTGAAGGGTCGTTTGGCTCATAAAAGTAATGAGTTATCTAATATACAACAACTGTATAAAGAAACTGCATCTAAGTACAACATTGCTCAGGAGAAGTTGAATACTTTAGAAACAAATGTAAATATGTATAAATCACAAGCAGAAAAATATGAGAACCTGAATAAGATATTAGATACTGAACTAAGAGAAGTTAAGGCAGAAAGAGAGGATTTAAGTAAACGTCTAGAGATATCAGAAGAATTGTTTAAAAATGCTTCGGAATCATTAAAACTGTTTAAAGAGAAATGTACTATGCAGGAAGCAATAATTTTAGAGCATAACTCTGAAGTAAAAGAGTTACGGACAAACTTAGATCTTCAGAAACAAATGAATGACGAATTGATGACAAATAAAAATGAGTTACAATCTTTGGTTCATACAATGGACAAAGATCGTAGAATTCTACACAATGCTATTCAAGAACTGAAGGGAAATATTAGAGTATTTTGTAGAGTGCGCCCTAGAACACCAACTGAACTTGGGAAAGTGTAGGTACCTTTTAGATAACGGGTGCAAAAATTTAATTCAATAAAATATAATACAATCGCATTTATTATTTACAGAACATGCACCATGAACTTTGTAGATGAATGCACCATTGAAGTAGGCAAGTCAGATGGTTCCGATTCGCTCAGTTGCAGTGGAAAAGTGAGGGGGACACGTCAGGAATTTTCTTTTGATAAAGTTTTTCCACCTACAGCTAAACAGGAAGATATCTTTGAAGAATTGGCCCTTCTAGTTCAATCTGCTTTGGAAGGATATAATGTTTGTGTATTCGCTTATGGCCAGACGGGTTCTGGTAAAACATATACCATGGAAGGTGTACCAGGCATTGAAACAGAAGGCATGATACCTAGAACGGTATATCGTCTAGATTATTTATAGCTAGAAAATATTTTCCAGTAGTAAGAAACTTAGTTCACTTTACATACTTAGGTACGGCATATATTTCAAGAAATGAAACAATTTCAATTACTTGGTTGGGAATATCGAATAGAAGCCAGTTTTCTTGAAATTTATAATGAGCATATCATCGATTTATTGGACTCTCAATCAAAGACACATGAGATCCGAATGGCTGATAGTAAAGGACATGACTTGTATGTTAGCAATCTAAAGATTGAGGAAATACATAGTCCTGAAGAATTGCACGAGTGTCTTTTAATTGCTCAGCGTAATAGAGCAGTTGCGGCTACTCAATCAAATGAGCGGTAAATTATATCGTATATATTAATGATAATAATAAATTTATGAAATAACTATGGTAATAAATTTTTTAGATCATCAAGATCGCATTCAGTTACAAGGATAAAACTCATTGGAGTACATAATACGAAAGAAGAGATTTCAATTGGAAACCTAAACTTAGTCGACTTAGCGGGTTCTGAACGATTAAAAGGCGAGGAATCGGTTCGAATGGCAGAAACGAAAAATATTAATAAATCGTTAGCGAATCTAGGTAATGTTATTCTTGCCCTTCTGAAAAGACAAGAACATATTCCCTATAGAAATTCAAAGCTTACCCATTTATTAATGCCATCCTTGGGTGGCAATTCAAAGACTTTGATGTTGCTGAATATATCGCCTTTAGATGAATGTTATAACGAAACGTTGAACTCGCTAAGATTTGCTAGCAACGTGAACAATTGTAAAACGGGCAATATAAAACGAACACGAACAGTTTTACAAAATTCTTCGTGAATCTTATCATATGAGATTATGTTGTTGTACTTTGCTAGCTCGATTAGACTCCTAGATACATTTTAATTGATAGTTCATAAAAAAGATATTTTTTTAATGTCTGATCATTTTTTTTTTAAATCGTACAAAATAGATGTAAATATTTGAATACCAAAAATATTTTTAACATTGAAACTGATAGTATTTTGTTTCCTTAACTTATTAAGAAGTATTATTAGGCATTCAAATCTTCATGTTAGTTATTAGATGTTTTAAGAAGAATTTCAACTATTTTATAAAATTTGTATGTATTTTTATACGTTCTAAACTTCATTATTATACATATCACTTTTAACATACATTAATGAAATGAAAAATTATAATCTGACTTAACCATTCATTGACCCATGTATGGAAGTATGAATGTGTAAATTTAATATAATAAATATAAGATTTAACCGAAGGAATGCGTTTTGTATCTTGTAGTATATTTCGAGTTAATAAAGTATTAAATGAAAATGTTCGTGTAAATAAAGATAGTTTATTTAAAACAATATCGTCTCCGACTTACTTATAAATCAATTTTTTACGAATAACGTAATTCGCAGACATTCCTAGCATACAAGGATAAAAATTTCGAGATCGTAAATTCGCTAAGAATTTTTTAAATTCCGGAGAAGAAGTAATGATACCATTCTGTAAACTTTTCTTTATATAAATATTACTAATTTTTCTATTGTCATTATTTAAAGGTAATAACTTTGTTTTCGTATATTCTGATTTACAAATTTCTGAATATTTCGTCAATAGATTACAAGCAGTTTGTAATTGTTGATTGTTTAAAGAATATATTGTATAGCTATTAAAAAGGAAGAATGTGTAACGACTAAACGTAATTCCATTTTGCACATGTTCCTTCAAAATATATTCTTCTAATTTTGTGTAACTGCATTTCTTCTGTAAATACTGTGCACTTATTTCATAATGTATAATCAATTTAGATTGTAAAATACAGTCACTATTTTGTGTTACTGTTCTTCTTTTAATAGCATAATTACTTTGATCTCTTGCAATAGTTTTTGAATATAAGTCAATCGAATGTATGTTATATATTCTGCTGAAAACCACTTAAATTGAAATAAGAGCATCAAATATTTATGCAAAGACATTTTTTACTTACATATCATTCAATATTTTTATACTTTTTCTAATATGTTCACGTATACATAGAAGTATTAATGCAAAGCACATAGATATAGGAACATACATATATTGCAGCACAACTTTTAATGGTAGTATTGTACTACACAAAGTGTAATTTGTTGCTGTAATGTATGTCAAATTTTCCACAGGTTCTGTTTCTATCATAATATTGTATGTGAGAGTAGGATTCCAGTTTTGTTGAGAAATTAATGTAGCTAAACAAAAACATTCATTCTGAATAAATATAATATATGATTCTATATGTAACAGTTACCTCTTGTCGTTAAAATGTCTGAATGATATATGTTACTTGTGCATAAAGCTATCCACAATCCAAATCCCCAGAGGAATAAAATATTCCATGATATATAACGTTGTTTTTTCTGCTTAATAAATTTGAAACAATGCACCATTGCTTGATGATATTATTTAATATTTCATTAATATTTTCTGTTCCAATTCTATATTTTTGAGTGAGGCTTATAAATATATGATTAAAGTAAATTTTGCAGCGATAGACTAATAATAAATCAAAAGGTTAAATGAGTAAAAAAAAAATAGACAGTCTACAAAGATAGTGACAGTATCAATTGTTTGCACATTTTATTGCATGTGCTTATAAAGTGTCAATTTAAATTTAGTAATCATAACACAATCATACACTGACATTATGACAAATGTTTTGGAAATATTGAGTAAATTTTGGAATGTACAGTATTACAGCCCGACTTGATACTTTAAATCAACAGCTAATGACTATTTCTAAATTGCAAAAAATGGAAGAGGATTTTAATGTGTGTTCTTATCCAATGTGTAAAAAGGTAAATACAATATATTGTACATGAGCAATTTGTAAATGAAAGTATGACTTATACAGTGTAACAAGCAGAAGAATAATTTTGGTCGTCTGTGCCACTGTGCTCATCATGTTTTATCTTTGAAAGAACAGTGCAATAGACTTAATTATGTCCAAGAAAGTATTTCATGTGAAAACACTAGAAAAAAAACAACATGCAATGCGAAAACATGTAAAACACGAAAAGATACTTCATTAAACGAAGGTATTTTTATTTTGTTATTATATTCAACAAATGATTAATTATTAATGTAAGGTTTTCTTTCAGTTGAAACAGATCTAACAAACGATGCACAAAAATTCAGCACTGTTAATACTGTAAGATTTTTGGTACACCAGTTAGTTTGATCAAGTATACATCAATCTTTTACAGATAAATAAACCTTACATTGTTAATAATGCAATTGATGCGTACAATGAGAAAAGTGAACAAATTATTCCTACGAAAGAAGAAAATTTTCATACTAAAACAGACGCGGATACTTCAATTACGAATATAATAGGATCTAAAACTACATTAAGTAAAGAAAAAGTTCAAAGGAGAGAAAACGAAATTACTCAAGAAATTAGCAATTTAAGAGATGTTAATTACAACACAGAAAACGTACCAATAAAGGATGACAAAATATTTGAAAGAATTCAAAAGGTTTTAATAAAATTCAATTAACTTTATAATTATTTGCATACATTATAATAATATATGATTTGCAGGACCTTTTAAATGAAAGAAAATATACTAAAGAACTTGAAAAAAAATTAGAATCTTTGACATGCAGTATAAATTGTTTGAAAGAGGACAGTGAACAAAAAGCAGCATGTTTAAAAAATGCATTAGAGACAGCGGAAGAACAAGCTAAGCTTGCTATGGACTTAGTAAAGCAATCAACAAATCAAGTAGATTTAGTCAGAACAGACAGAGATGATCTGTTAAGCAAGATTTCAAAATTACAGGTATAAATATTATTCATTAGTATCATTCTAAGATACTGATTGTTAGGGTAATTATTATTTTAGAATCGAATAGCTGAAATTACAATTAAAAACGTGGCTTTAACAGAAGAACGAGATCATTTAAAACATAAATTAGACTCGTTATCAGAGGATGAATCTAAAAGGTAATTTTTGTAATTGTTGAATGAATTTCTTGTTTCCAAACTGTAATATAAAAACCACTTTAGATACTAAATGCATACTTCAATCGTACAAGGTGTGAAGAAGTAGAGCAGGAAGTGAATAAAATGAGATGTGCTGTAAAAGAAAAAGAAGATGCTCTAAATAAAGAAAGAGTTGAATTCAAGGGTATGATTTCCGAACTTACGAATGTGATAAAGATTCAGAAAAGAAGAATATGCAAAGTAACAGATATATGTATCAATCAACAATGTCTGCTACGTGAGAAAGATGAAGAATTATCTCAGAAAGTAAGGTATCAATTGAAAAAATATAAATTATAATTTTACATTAATGCATAATACATTCATAGCATACTGAATTGTCAAAAGTACAAGATACAGTGCAGTCGTGTAGTAATGTACATAAAGAAATGCTAGAACAAATAGAACATTTGAAACAGTGTTTGTGTGAGGAAACAAAAGCTTGTCAATGTGTGAAACAAGAATTAGAAATTCTAAAAGAAAATCACTCTTCCGAATTGAGAATAAAAGATAAAATTGTAGAAGAACAAAATAAGACCATTACAAAGCAAAAAAAGGTGGTTCATGTACTTTAAACTTTTATTGAAATATGTAAAGTGAATTCATAAAATACTTTTCCTTTTCAGTTATTGTATGATAGCGAAAAAATGGCCCAGCAAGTTGCTAGTGAATTCAATGAACTTAGAGAAGAATTGTGCCAAGAGAAAGAGAAATGTAAGTGTTTGGAGATAGAGTTGAATAAAACTGATAGCAAACTGAACAAGGCACATTCGTTGGAATGTGAAAAATGTACAATTCTGAGATCTGAAATTAATTATCTGAAGAATGAAAAACAAAGAGCATTAACAATTGCGAAAGTTGCTTATCAAAAATTAAATCAATCTGTGAAAGAATATCAAAAGCAGTTCAATTATCAAAATGAACAGCATAGATGTATGAAATTAATAATTGAAAGAAAAGAGCATGAAATATGCTGTTTAAAAACTCAAATGTATCAAAATGGTTCCAGATCCATTAAAAAGTTGAATCACTATGTTATGTAATACAGATACAGTAAAATTTGAATACATTGAATTTTCATGATCATAAAATATACAATGTTTGAAGTAATTTAAAGTCTGAAGTAATTTAAATTCAATATAATTCTATCAATAAATATATCATAACATGTATGACATACTATAATACATATATTCTACTATGGATATAAATATAAATGTACACTTTACATACACACAATGCGTTACAACATTTTCATGGTGATAATGTAGTTGGAAAACTTCAATGTGATCTCTTGTCAAATGCAAGTTGAATAAATTACTTAAATTTCAATTTAGATATTCTTACTCCGATTTCTAGAAATAGTAGCTTAACATTTCTCTTGTACCAGGAAATATTATAATTCAAATGGATTTTCCAATTTTTATCTAAAAATTGTTTGTAAAATACTGACATATCATCTGCTGTAATTGAAGTCTTCCCTTGAGCCTTTAGCTTCTCTTGGAAATGTTTACGCTCCTACAAAATAAAATACTCTAAAATACAAAAGTTTTTTGGTAACAACATTGCAATATAACATTTTAGAATTATACTTTTATAAAGCTACTATTGTGTGTCGTCCAAAAGTTTTGGTTCCAAATCTGTGTAGCTTCTCTAAGTTCCCTGTATTTCTTCTCGAGATTCGTTTCATTCTCAGGTTTTGCGAATATTATTGGCCGCAAGTTCGAAACTGGATCGGGAGGTCCTATTATGTCAGCTTGTGTCGGTGTTGTTAGGTTAGAATATGGTTTCTGATTAAAATGAATGTTATGAATATATGATTAAATTGTGAAATATTAATGAATACAGTGAATGAGGGACTTACTGTACTAAGTAGCCTGGCTACATTGTTATAATATTTTAATTGCATATAATTACATACTCGAGCCATTTCATAGGCACTCACATCTTGTGTCATTCATACATTTTAGGTTAAACGTAATGGATTCGATGCTCAATACACAAGACGTAGTTTGTAGATAACATATCTAGATACTGAATTAGATATGAATTAGACTAAGTACATTGTATGAATTGGAATAATCATTCGCAGATTTAATTCTTATTCAACAAACAACCGTTTATTAATATAGTAACATAAACTCTTTTATAAATATAATCTAATAAATCTAATAGTGACATTATTTCATTTACTACATAAATAAGATTCCTCCAACATTGTTAATAGATTCTGATAGAAATCAATCGTTTATGCGTTTCTGATGCGACACTTCTGTAAAAAAGATCGCAATTCCATTTTCAAAAAAAGTTACTCCTCTATCACGACTCATCTCACAATAATTGATAATTAAAATCAAAAAAATTATTCGAAAATTCATGGACCATTTTTGTGTGTAAGATTTCCTGTGCTTATTGTTTTAAAAACAAAAAAAGAAATCATCGGTTTATATAAATGGCATTAAAAACTCGATTCCACTGATTTTGAAGAACTTCTGGTTGCTTGCACTAAGACTAGAGTTTCTTTTTTTGTAAAAACATTCCTTCTGTATGCACAAGTAGCTGCTCATGGAAACGCGCAAAATATTTCGTTATTAATATTCGATATCGGTTGGTTAAATTACTGCAGCATACGAGGACATATTTCCCAAAACGATTAACGACGTTCTCGAAACATCGATTCTTTAATATTTATGTCACTTCCTAATAACGACGCAATATTTAATTCAATGATTTTAAATACGCTGCATTGAATAAATCGAGTTCGTTCGTTAAATAATTAGCCTTATTTCGTAATACTTTTGCACTACTGGTTGCTTCTTCGAGCGTTCGTACCGTACTTGCTATATTCGTTAATTCAGTGTTCATTTCGGAAGTCGTTTCATCCACTAAATGGCACAGACGTGCAAAAGTGCTGGACAGCTCCCTAAATTAAATTAAAATTTTCTATAGAATATATCTAAGATGTCAATTTAGATATATTAAGACTGACATAAAACAAACGAGACTTACTGTTGCACTTGATGACTACAATTTGCAGATGTGAGATCTACAATCAATTTCAATTTCTTTGTAGCATGATCCACATACTGACGTTTAAATTCACGTTCCTTCGCTGAATTAGTCCACGTTAATCGCTCGTAAAGATATAAAGCACCGTATATAGTACCAGTTACAGCTATAAGTCTCCAACCAATAGTTTTCAACATCTAAAGCAAAATACTTTAATAGAATGGAACTTGGTGATATTTAGAGAAATATTTTAAAAAAATGATCTTACAAAACCAGCAACTATAAGACCACCCATAGTGCCTTGAGACGTTATAGACGCTACTGCTATTTTTGTAACTAAAGACCAATCATCACATCCCGTTTGACAATTAGGAGTACTCGACACAAATTTAACAGAATCCACACTTTCCGCGGGTGACATGATCGCAGGTGGTATCTAAAAACATATATTAAATTTTTTATCAAGTTATAAATATTTTTTCAGTATTATGTAATACATAATTATATAAGTAAGTATAAGAGCAGAACGATTTATTCGATAGATTCACTTACGTCTTGTGGATAATTAGCAATAGCCATTCGTTGACCATGTTTCCCTGCGAATCTATTAATTATAGCCGTAATTCCCCATGAGAATCGGAACTCTAGGTCTTCATGGAAATCCGCGCATAAATTGTCACAATTTAGTCTATACAAAATTTCGAATGGCTCCCTTCTCGGTAAAATGTTTAATGACATTTGCCGCTTAGTTTCCGGTAACAAGCTTGCCATACGTTCGGTCATCTCTCTTTGCGAATTTTCAATGTTCATTGCTAACGCGGTACTAAGTCTTGCTCTTAAATTAGAGCCTGTAAAATCACAATGTTAGCATTTCTATAATAAATTATACAGATAATGTAAATTCACATATTACCTAAACCATGTTCCACGTGCGTATGGAGTTCTCGCTTATATACATTTAGGACTAATGACTCGGTATGAAATGGAACATTGAATTCGTCAACAAGTACGGCTAATCTATGAATCTCTTCGCTCAGAGCTTTAGACACTCTTTGTTCAACATCTTCCACCATGTGATGGATTTTACTCTTCATTTCTTGAGTCAACAACAACAATTGTTGTTCCGTGTAATTTAATTTGTCAAGAACTTCCCTCTTAATTTGCAATTGTTCACCCTTAGTTTTCTGTGTTCTCTCTAATATTTCATCCAATGTTTGTCGAATTTCGCTGAAAAAAAATTATATTTGGTATATCGGATTATAAACACTAATATGTCAGCACAATTATTTATAAGATTCTTACGTCGCAATATGTTTTCCCCGTTGAGAATGCTGTTCGAATTTTGTTTTCACCGCAGACTTTGAAATACATTCCTCGAATTTTCGTTCGAAATCTTGAAACTCGAAATATCGATTTTGAAATCCTTCGGCTAATGCACCATCTATAATGCAGTTTATATATTTATATATTAATTACACGCTGTTTGTGCAACCACGGAAAACAAATTTAGAGCTCTTACTGTGAGCTGGTTGGCCACGTTGTTCCTGCATACGAGCTTGAAGAGTTTCTTTCGCTGAAATGAAGAAAACGCGTTCTTCAGCATCCTTAGGGGTGTAAACTTTCAATTCTCTGGACAGAAAGTCAACAGCTCTTTCTTGATGTTGTGCCCTTACCTACACAGACACGAAAGTTGAATGAGTATGATTCATATGGTAGAGTCTTAACAATAGTTTAAGAAGCGAAAAGCACACTGTGAAATTTTTACCTTCGTTCATGCGAAAAATTAGTGCACAGTGTACATTGAGTAGTGCATTATGAACTTTATTCATAGTTACGAATAAATATTAATAATAACGAAATTAAATTTATAACTGCGATATAATTAATGAAGTAAAATAGATTAACTTACTTCTTTTTGCTCTTTGACCAGCTAAGAGATAAAGGGGGTATTACATGAGTTATTTGAGTAAAGCTGCTACTGCATAAGCTAATGATTTAGAGTCTGTACTCTAAACGTATTTTTTTCAATAATAAATTAAGTAATATTCATATAAAAAAAATCGCGAAGTGATAATATTAATATGTAGTACCAGCTTTAATAAATTTTATTTCGTATAAGATTCATTCATTATTGAGAAATTACTTCAATATGTAATTTTTCAAATAATTAGATACACTATAAGCTTAAATTCAATATACGACATACCTGCTCAAAGAATTCTGGTTCAGAAGCAGATGCATCCCATCGATTATTTAAAATGAAGATATTGGGCTTTGATAATTTTGTTGACACTTTGTGGAAGAAGTTTTTTTCCTGTAATTATAATTCTTCCCGTATACTGTACGTTTATATAAATAAACATTTAACTTACAGATCAGAGATACTTACAGTAACCATTAAAGTAGACTCAGCATTAGCTACCAAAACAAAAACATCTGCATCCAAACAATGTTTATCAATCCATTCATCTAAATTTGGTGTTACATCCACTCCAGGACTGTCAACAAATACTACATCATCTCGTAATAATAAACATTTTTCCTTTGGCCAAAATATCCTGACCAAGTGGCTTTCACACAGCTTCTCTTTGCAAAGAGCATGACCCAATTGACCTACTGACTGAACTGGTTGCTTTTCAGTAGATCCCTCAGTAATGAGATATGCTTCTCCATTGTCTGAACCTTCAACTTGCAAAAAGCAGTTTGTTGTGTGTCCTATTCCACTTGGTAAAATTTTATCACGCAGCATTGCGTTAATAACTGTACTCTTCCCATTACTGGTCCTAAAAAAAATATACAAGTGTTAAAAATCATTGTAGTTGGTACTTAATGTTAAGATAATTTCGTACCTTCCGAAAAAGGCAACTTTCATGTGATCCCGCTTAAGAACATCCCTAATTCCATGAACTTTATCGACATAGCTTGCAATTGTTTGTGCTTCTTCAGGTGTGACAATGTTACCTTCGCTTTGCAGTACTATAAAAATAATTTTAAAAGTTATTAAACATCACTCTTGCTTGTATTGATGAAAATTAAGAAGAGTAAACCTCAGAAACTATGAGATAAGAAACAATCTTTTCAGCTACCATTGTTAGATACAGTATGAAAGATTATTTACATTTCATAAATCCAACAGTATCCTGCACATAATCTTCAATTTCCACAAATATGTCATTGATCTTTTTCTTGGCCTTAACGAAAATCTGAAGAGGAGAATTGTCAGTTCGTAAATCTGTTGACCGCAAGTGACTGTCTGCTCCAATCATGGACATTGTACGATTGATGTAGGCAGCCATGGTTGTTTATACGTTTATGGTTTACACAGTGGATTTTAGCAAAGTAAGAAAAATATGGTGCAATACGTTAGGCAGAACGTTGATGCAGTGCACAGCATGCAGGACCAACTGAAATCATAAAAAAGCAACAATTAAATACTTTCTAACAACGATATCGATCTACAAGGTGTAACATATAAATTATTTAAATACAAATAAGTACTTAATAAACAAGTATGTATATAAGCGCACTTATATTAAACAATCGTTTATATTTCTTTGTATAACCAAAACAAATTACATATAAGGAAACCAAAACTTGAATCACAGAAACAAATTTTAATATATTAACAATAATTAGCTATCAACATATGAAATACATGACTTAGATAATTTTTATTTCAAATGAAATGAAAATTGACATATTTTTAAACTCTCACTGTGAGTGCAATATATATATAAGTGATTAACTATAAAAATGCTATCACATGTAGTAAGTACTATGTAACATTAAAGACAATATAATAAAACCTTCTTGTCTTTAGTCATTGAACTGTCCTTTGTCACAATATAAACGAGTTGCAACTTTGAATATCTTCTTTACTCCGAATCTTCTAAAACAATTTATTGGAATATCAGTAGTCAAGACCTCTACATTATTCCTATTTTTAAATTATATTTGGAATATTGTAATTTGAAAAATATGCCAAATAAAAAAAAATATTATACTCTATAATGAACAATACCATGTATAAATTATATTTTTATTTGCATTTTTTTGCCGACCGAAGTTATGTCATTTATATCGACTGAGATATTTATAAATTCTGACAAACTAATGTGTATGTTCTCTGCAAAAAGATTGCAACAGAACATTTTGCGTCTCTAAATTTCCTTTTAGTAATTAACACGTACATTGACCCACGAATTAACTGAATAACGAACATCATCTATTTAATTTCGGAATATTCATATATATGGAAAATAAAATCTGTGTAGTAAAAAAAAAATTAAGAATACACTTTGAACTGTTCGCCGAAATCTAACCTGTATAATAACGCAATAGTTCGCCTACTGTATAAGCTTGTGTCCTTACCGAACAATCACTGTTTCTTTATTATCATATTTTTAATATAATATGGATTGAGTTGTGCATAAAACAATATACAACATTTCGCGGTTCCAAAATACTTAAGGAACTAACAATTAGATCGACGTACATTAAAATAAGTTCATGTGTGAACTGATTGGAAGTGATGCAAACACGTGACGTTCGAGAAACTAAGGCTAATTCTCAAGTGTTATGAAATCTTTTCTTAAAAAAATTTGTAATTTTATATAACATTAGTATACCAAATATTTTCTATAAATATCAAAATATATCTAATTAAAAATAATCATTCTGTTTTGATTAAAATTGAACAGATTATGTAATTCCTTCGAGATTCATTTAAATTGACCGCCAAAGGAATAAAAATATATACACGCAAAAATTTTGTAGGTTGTTTATAGAATTATTGATATCTTTTAATGAAATTTTTAATTTTCTATTTAAAAACAGTTTTTTCATGTTCCTAAATCGAACTGCACAAATAATCTGGTGCACATATACATATGCATGAATAAATTAGAAACGGAGAATATAGCTTAACAAATTATTAGATATAAAAAATACAACGCAAAAACTTCAAGAAAAAGTTTATGCATCTGGGAATAAATGATAAGAAATTATCTACTCTCTTAACAAACTTAATACATTAAGTACTGATACTGATGATCCATAAATTTATTTGTGTCATTTTTTAGTATTAGTACAAACAAAACAAAATTTACTTCATAAAAAACTTAAGTTGAAATTTTGATAAAAAGATTAATATGATACAGGTACTAAATTAAATATTATTTTGAATACATTTATTAAAGAGATTGCACTTTTACAGATAGAGAAAATATTGGATTGTCTATTACATTAAAATATTATAAACTATATTTAAATAATAAATATTGTATACTATACAATTTTTTATTATCGGAGATATTATTTTTAGAATCAGAAAGTATGGTCGAAGTTATTTGTTCAATAGAACAGCATTTCAGAATGATAGATATTTTAGAAATAGTGGGATATATACAATGATTACTTGTAATATTCATTATTTGTAATTATTGTACTTCTTGGACTCAAAGTAGAGCATAATATACTACAAAACTTTAACATTAATTAATTTGTAACAAATTCGAATCACAATCTATAGATTCTAGGTTGACTAAATAATTGTATCAGATTGGTGAATAGATTTTTTATAAACCTCAGATGAAAAAGAATTTATGCTCACTAAATTTTGAAAACACATTTAATTAAACTTATTAGAGTCATTTTATATGATACACATCAATAGTATGGAGATCTTTAAGTTTCTCTCCTATCACCTTCAGAATCTGAAGGGGGCAGTACATTTTGATGAGTAAGTTTATGTATTAGGTCTTCTATCGTCTTGATATCAACTAAACCTATAAATTTATCAATAACTAGTCCACTGGAAATTACTACAACAGCAGGTACAGCTTTTACTTCAAAGATGTGTACTAATTCTGGATTTAACTCTAGATCTATAATGGCAAGATCTAATTTATCCAATGGTTCTATGAGATCTATTAACTTAGGTGTGAGTATTCTACAAGGTTCACACCAATGAGCATGAAAATTCACAATAACTGGTACTGAACTATTCATTACCTTGCTAACAAATTCTTTGTTACTATTAATTTCAAATTGTTTATTCTGCTGTCGAGACAGAGAAACACCGCGTACTAATATTGATGCAAGCTTACTAGGATGGCGCAACATCTTCTAGCGTTTTAAGTACTGTCTGTATCACTAAAAAGATGAATTGGTCAGAAATAAGATTGATGTACTCTTTTTTTAATCACTATACATGATCAATAAAAAGTAGCAATTATGTTTTCCAATATTCCTACTTCATTAAAAATTTCTGAAATATATATAGAAATGAGAAGAATTAATTGTTTTTAATACATCATCATCTTACGTAGAAATCAGAGCAAAGATACTTACTATAAGTATTTAAGATACCCAATTAGTTATTCGAAGTGGTTTAACAGATTCTGTTATAGCAAATTTAATGTATCCTATCAATCCAATGATGGATGATATAATTAATAGTACAAGTAACAGAATACGCCAAACAAATAAATGATCATATGTCTGCAAAAGAGGAGTTACTTTTTACATAATTATATAACCAATTAAAATCTACACTGTTTTTTTCATGATGTGTACAAATAATGATATTAATAATATTATTTTACATTAATATTATTGGTTGGCAAAGTAATTATTTCCATACCTTTTTCTCAGCAGAAATAGATTTCTCGGTTGCTCTAGGCAAAGCAATTAAAATAATTGTGCATATGCTCACAATCAATATAGCAATTGCACCGATTTTCTTCTCTACTCTTAAAGTAATAATAAATACAAATAGCGCCAGTGCCCATAGACTTAAAATAAGGAATAATCCTACGCCTATTCCAAATACCAAATTAGTCATACCACTAGAAAGGAAAAATGTAGATATATAAATATTTCTTACAATTTATTTATAATTTTTAATTAAACGACAAATTCTATATTACAAATGATAAAATGATTGTAAAATGAACAAAGGGTCTAATAGAAAAACATCTAAAGATAAGAACTATATTGAGAGATAACAGAACCACTCCAAAAGTAGATTTCAAGAGTAGATAGTCAATAAGAAATTACATGCTCTATTAATATATACATACGTATTTATATAACAAATTATTGCTCTTTATAAATGAAATATATATATATATATATATAGAAAATATAATTTTTATATTTTAGAAATATTCTTCTAACGAACTTAATTAAGCTAAACAAGGTAAGCTTAAACAATACTTAAAAGTCATACATTGCGCTGTAATCTACAGCAAAATCATGCATATACCGTTTAAGTGCAAACTGTTGTAAACGTATTAACGGATATCAACTACACATTAACCCTTGATTGGCAGTGCCCGGATCTATTTTGACTTAGATTTGTGAAAGTTCCAACTAATTTCTCTGTTTACAATATCTTACTTAAATTAACAATTGTTTACTGGTGAATACATTACGAAGAAGCGTATTGTAAAATATATTTAGGAACAAAATTTTACGTGGGTCCAATTGGACCCAGGGATCGCCGCTGATCGGTCTTCAAAAATGTTCACCGGAAGGGTAAAATTTTAATGAAATTTACGCCTACATCTTCCAACAGAGGGCCACGGATGACAGTCGGTTCTCGCAAGTTCACCAAAAATGGGATTTTTAATGAAATATAGGGAAGTTCATACTATCACCAGAATTTTTTTTATGTTCATAAAAGCATGATTTTACTCTAAATTGGTTTGCACGAGGCGTATACGTCTCCACGTGACGTTCGACCGATTGATCCGATATTTTGTGATTATAAGTAATTTCATTTTTTACGAGTAATTGTTTCTGATGTAATAACATGTCTAACGGATTTGTACACTCCGTTAAAGTCCCAAGACTTTATAAAACTGCATCTAAAATTGTTCGAGAGGTTCGTGAAAATGGTGCCAGTCTTAAGACGATGATTTATGAACAAAAACATCCTGTAAGTAATTTAATTTTGCTCAGAAGTACCGGTAATTAACAATGATGTAGATAAACAATTTGTAAACATTTAAAATATTTCAAATAATTCGACATACTCGGTGCCTTTTATTATTATTTCGACTGCATTTTTATCACGTGATTTTTATGCAAATTTTTTTCATGAATAATTCTTAATTTATTTCATTATAATATTAATTGTAATTTTCTTTTAACTTTTATTTCGTAATGTAGAATATCTCTGCAATATATTCTCTGTGCCTTAATACACTGCAAAAAGAAGCACAGTTGAATTATCTTTTAAATCAAACTGGTATATTAGAAAATGAATCCCGTATGGATCCATGGTTGGCAAAAATTCTCATAACCGAACTTTTTTGGGGAAAAAAAGTCATAAAAGCTGATTGCAAACCTGTTCAGTCTATACTCAAATATAAGGAACAACTACGGGAAAAAATAAACGAATATAGTGATGTAGAATCACTACTTAACAAAACAGGTAAAAATGTTATTGTATTCGTATATTAATAAGTGTATATTATTTTTACAGAAATGAGCAACTCCTCTATAGGGGAATTAATAACGAAGTCAAGCGACGCATTTGAGATGTGTTAAGTTATTTCCTTTGTGTGAGGCATATTGAGCAGCTGGATTGATGGTTTTAATCATCCGCAACAACCGTATTCTCAGTAGCCGGCAATCTAGAATTAATAAGTTTCTATCTTATGTGCGCAAAGATCGGCAAAAGTCGTATGAGAAAGATATACCCCGCAATCAGAATAAAGAAACACCAATTATGAGTCTCGTAGCTGTATTAGGGACTTTATTCCTCTATAGCATCGCGATGTTTACATTACCGTTTGCTGCATTTTTTAGTGTACAGCATATTATGAAGGCTGAGCTCCATGTAGATAGATTTGTAACAAATTGCATTTCTGTATTTGCAGCTGTGATTACAGTAAATTTAATAATAGCTTGTTATGCTTATCAGGCTCTTCATGAGCCTGATGATACTTCAGAAACTGAAGAAATTGTGAATCGACCTACTAAAGAAAGTCTTAATAAAAAAATGGAATAAATAGGGATTAAGAATGTAACACAAACATAATTATTATATTACATTTACAATATAGATATACATATACATATATTTATATACGTACAAATGTAATAATTTTGTAGTTAACTATAATTAGTACGTTTGTTTATTATTAATATATCATTATTAATATATTTTTATATTATAATTATTATGCTGTGTTCAACATAATGCCAGCATTAAATATAATTCAGTATGTATTTAACAATAAATAGATTAGTCAGAGAGCATGACTTTTAATTTACATCCATTATCTATTTATTTTTCAGTGCGAAAACCAAGATATGTTCGCGTCAACACTTTATTATTACCAATGAACAAGGCAATATCTAACTTCATGGAAGAAGGATGGTTGATGTTGCCAAAATGTTCGAATTATATGGAGCATCTTAAAGTCGTAAAAGATTTAAGAAAACCAGAGTTTATTCAGGACTTCCATATCCCAGAATTACTTATTTTCCCACCTGACACAGTTTTTCACGATCATCCTGCATACCACAATGGAGAAATTATTTTACAAGATAAGGTAATACATACTGTAAATGAAGACAAGCAATTTTTTGTTGTTTATTTATCTTCTGATATCTCTGTTTTCAGGCTAGTTGTTTCCCAGCCTATTTATTACAGCCGAAACCTGGCTCCGTAGTACTTGATATGTGTGCAGCGCCAGGAATGAAATCGTCGCATATAGCTGCTCTGATGAAGAATTACGGGTACGATTTTTTTGACTAATGTATCTATGAATTTTTCAATTGTAAATAAATTTGCTTATATGCTTGCAGAAAAGTTTATGCAGTCGAAATTGATAAAAGAAGGTACACTACTTTATGTGAACAGGTCAAAATTACATGTTCTTCGTGCGTGGAGACTCTCAATGAGGATTCGTTAACATTAGAAGGAGAAGATTATTCTGATGTGGAATACATTCTTGTAGATCCAACTTGTTCTAGTTCAGGTATAGTATTTTACTTATAAACAGACATTCTAAGGATTCAGAGTGTAATTATATGCAAATCTTTTTCACAGGCATGTTGTTTGGACAGTTAGTGAGAGGAAACCAGCAATGTTCACCGCAACGTTTAAAACAGTTGCAAGCATTTCAAGTGTTTCTCTTGCGGCATGCTCTTATGAATTTTCCAAACGTGAAGAGAGTTGTTTACAGCACATGCTCTATCAATCCAGAAGAAAACGAGCAAGTGGTAGATGAGGTTCTTGAGAATGTCAAAGGTGCCTACAAGTTGGTATCGATTAAAAATATGTATAAGGACAGTTGGGAGAACTACAGTTCTCAGAGTTATAAATGCTCTGATAAGTGCCTGTATGCTCGTCCTGAAGAAGATTTATGCAACGGCTTCTTCGTTGCTGTATTTGAAAGAAATGTCAACGTGCCTTTGCCAGCGTATAAACGAAAAGGCAGCAAAGTAAATAACGAGCAGTTGGAGAACAGTGAAGGAAACGAGGATCAGAATGTGGCGGAAACGAGTTCAGGCCGAAAAAGGAAGAAACGTGCGAAAAGGAAGAGCACGAAAACGACTCAAAATACTTTCTTGGCTGATAACTTGAATACGTCTTCTGATTCGATTAAGATCATTGCTGAAATATGTAACGACGACGAAGAAGATAATGCAAGCGACAATGATAATGAAAAGAATGATACTGACGAAAATGAAAAAACGAATGAAGAAAGGAACGAAGACAACGAAGAAAGCGAAGAAGATCCGCCACCGAAAAAAGTGAAAAGAAAATTAAATCGCAAGAAGAAGCAGGCTGAGCATGGAATTCCGTTAAAACGGAAACAAGTTAAAATGCAAAGAACAAAAAAGAAATAAGAATGGAAGATCGTCTAATGAAATAAGTACCGTCTGTTGTTATTACATAAAATATTAGAATTTTGTACACTGATTCAGCGGAAGTACCGAATACATATTAACGTGAATTTAGCAAAAGGTTGTCTTTACTCTAGCGTTCGCTCTGCCTTTTCATTCCCGTTTCGTTCGTTGTTCGCTAACGCGATACTTTCCTCGGCTATTTTTACCGTTATTTCGGATAACATCGGCGCCTTTTATCGGCGTTGTCGCGCAACTTCTAGGTTTTGACCACGACACGAGATCCCCGACATGCACGGCATCAAAGATTTTAGAGGTTTATGTCCTTCAAGGCTGAAATGAAAAAAAGCAAGCTCAAATAGAGCGCTCTTTCGAATGTGTTTATAATAATATATCATCAAACGCGGCTGTTTTATAATGTACGTATGTTTCATGAATTTCAGGTAACAACTTTTCATAAGAGAACGGTGAGTTTATAAGGAAGCATTGCGCTCCGGTGAACGGATTAAAGAAATCGCGGTTGGTAATGTATTCGTGTTTAATTTAATATTATTTTCTTTCAGTTTTCATGGGCTGACGGCACGAGAGAATCTCGTTTCGAGGGCGAGAATCAGGGACCGAATATCATCGAGAATTTCAGGGAGTCAAAGGTGATCCTTGAAACCGTTCTGATAGTCCTTATGATGTACATGATGTTTCCTCGATGAGCGATGAAAAATATTCCCTTGCCACGTACTCGGGGTCTTATCAGTGTTGCTTGCAATGAAATGCATTTGGCATTACTGCTTCCACGGTTTGTCGCGGTGACGTGCAAGGTCTTGGATATCTGCTGATAAAGTGCTGGCCAAGCTCTAGATCATAGCCGATAAGCCCCGCACTTATAAATCGTTGTAATATTCGCTGATAACGAAGCAATGATAATTATAAACGCGCGCTTATGTCGTTAATGGGGTTAGTGGTAGCAAATCAATCTCCACCCTTCACGACTTCTTCTTGCCGTGGCATTAGCATTAGCATAAGTATGATAAAGTAAAATATAATTCTGAAACCGCGAGTATGATGTTTAGATAAGGATAGCCAGGTGGTTCCACTGGAATCAGTGTGTATAATTATGTAGACCAAGCAAGGCTGGCTCTAACCAGTAACTAGTAATTCAGATGGAAATTCCTGTGACTCATTTTTTATAAAATATTACTATTCCCTTAGCTTTCCAACAAAATGATCCACAATCCCTGTAACATAAATGTCCAAAAAAAGATGCTAATCAGCTCTATACTGTCTATAGATCCCAAGCACTCTACATCTCAATTTTCTTAGCTCCAAAATACACATTGTCAAACATTCTACCAATCTCTGTACAAAAACGACCTTGGTAACAATTTCAAACTCAGTTATTATTTCAAACGTCTGCCCAGCAACGTCAACGGTGTTACACAGGGAAGCCGAAGAAAAAAGAGTGAGGAATCCGTTACGGTTGAACGTAAGAGGGCGGAATCGATGAAACAACCACAACAAAAGAAGTCCGCGGAGCAGCCGGTCAGCGAGCGTCGATTATACTGAAAATTGGAGACACGCGGGCTTCGTGACACTCGCAGGGGGAGCGTGGGGCGTTATCGGATAGCGTCCAGACTTTTTATCTCCATCGGGAACGACGCCGCCGTACGCGGCTTTCTCGAGCTGTAAAAGAAAAAGAGCGATCAAGAACGGGCTTTCGGGCAACGGCCCCTTCCAGGTTTATTGCAAAGTCGATAGCCAGCGGGTGGTGTTCACCGTTTCCTCCCTTCCTCTCCCCTCCTGTCTCCTCCGCGCTGGCCGGAGGGAAAAGTCGACGGTATCACGTGGAGTCTGTCAGAAATGACCGGCACACGCTCGTGCGTGTGTCCGGCCGCCAATGGAGAGCTGCTCCTGTCCCTTGATCGCTCGCTCCTTTGACTCGGCTGTCGGTACTTCCGTGACAAGAAACTCGTTGACCTCCTTGGTCACCTCGCGACGGTTCACGGTGATTTCAAGCGTCCGGTTCATTCGTTGTATCGCACCCTTTCCCCTCCAAGGAAGGGAATCGCGTTTATGGAAAATCACTGTGCTTTGTTCGAGGACAAAGTGTGGATTCCATGGCTTTGGGGCGTGTCGCTTTAGAACTTCGAATGGATTAATGAGATTTTTGTGTTCGTTTTAATTTGGCACTGGTACAATTGTTAATGGAGAAACTGTATTTTCATTTGGTTCCCATTTTCAATAGGTCACGGGTTTTTAACACGTTGAATGCCATGGGGGTCACCGGTGACCGCCAAGCGAATTGAATTACTGTACTTCACTCAATTAAACGACGATAAACATCTCTATATTATGAATAATGCTACCCATTGCGGTGACATTCGGTTTGATGAACGTACAATGACAATAATCCAATTCAGTCTAATGATTAAATATTGGATTTTTTCCATGTTGTGTATTTTGCTCTATGAAACCGTGCGGCGTTCGACGTGTTAAACGAAATGTTTCCAAAGCAATTTAAACTGCTCGGTTTAACTGACTTGTAATTAGGCGATGATCGCGAAGTACTCGCTTGTATTCAGAATGTTTTAAATATTTCCGGATTATGGGAAAAGTTTATTCCCGAACCGTCAGGAACCCGAAGAAATTCGACGTTTCAGAAGCTGAATTCGCGACATTGCTTCAGCGATTACCATACCGATTACTTCTAATTCTCATCGAATTTTCATTACGCCTGGTCATCTTTAAAATATTTTCTTGGCGCGGCGAATAGTCGATACTTCGGTAGGGTTTGCGTGTTCACCGTGGCAGCTGGCTGACCAGATTCGTTCCTCGACCACTTAAGTAATCGAGCGGCCGAGCGGCTCGTATATCACGGTAAGCGTGAATCAGCAGGATTCGGCGTCCACCGAATCCGAGCTATCCCTCGGAATTGTTCGAGTCTGAATGCCGGTTGATTTTTTCCCAACGTTTCGCAACCCTCTCTCGCTTTCCGATTCTCTATAATCAGAAACGAAGGGAAACGCTGGAAAACACGACTGTCCACGCGTACACTCCTGCTCTCGTAACTTTCAATGGCGAAGCGGACAGCGTTACGGTAACGGGGAAACCCAGAAAGCTTCTATAGCCGGCTCGGGCATTTTGCGTGCAGGAGATTGCCGTTTCCCAGAAGCGTTTCGTATTTAAACATTTCGAGCGTACAAGCGTGGCGCATTTGCATAGCCGGTCGGCGAAGTCTGTTCATAAATTTCAAACCCTACGGCGCCGGTCAATTATAATCTCGTTTGAAAGGTGCGAGCCGTGAAAGGCACGCGTCTATTCGCGGGAACGTCGACTCGGGTCGCGCTTATTAATTCAACGTGATAACCGTGCCCGCCCCGAGGAAAATGCCGAACAGCGAGATAGAGAAGAAAAAAAGAATTGGTTCAACGAAAACCGAGCCGGGACGATTATTAAACGCAATTACTGTAATAACATGTCCGCACGGTAGCCGAGTTACGCTCCCCGCTTCACGCAATTCGTGCTCCACTTCTCTGTCAAGCGTTGCGCCTTTTTTTCGTTCCCCCGCAAACGATCCCTCGGCCACTTGAATTTCTCCGAGCAAGAAACCCCTTATCGGAAAGCGACTAGGATGATTAGCTGCATGAAGCCCAAGAATTGCAGAACGCACGATATGAATACAAGACAAACCCGGTCGACGCGAAGGTCGAACGTCGCGGGCCGGCGTTCCGCTGTTCCCGGCATTATATAAAAAAAATTTGCAATTGAAACGATCGGTCAACATCGCGGGAAGTGGCGCATTACATCGTTTCCGTCGGCCCTCGTAAATTTTCCATTCGGCCGCCCCCCCGCGGATCCCGGAAACCTATTTTTCATCGGGTGGCTCGCGGTTCTCGGCACGCAATTAAATATTTCTTAACGACATCGCCAATCGATCCTAAACAATACAACCGCACCCCTGCGCCGCCGTTCGCGAGTGGAAAATCAGGGGTCACCTTGGGATCGATGTAAATCAAGCACATAATATCAAGAGCGCAATATCGCTCCCTTCGTACACGAACCTCGTATAATATTTCCCTTTGGAATAATAAAACGCGCGGTTGCTCTCGCCGAGTACGTCTGAAGCTAAAGGAAACGCTTCGAATTCATTGAAGCAACGTTCAATGAACTCGATCCGATGTCCGAGCGTTTCATGGACTACCGGTTGATTCGGATATTGACGAGTACGTTCGAATCTAAGGAATCGTGGACGGTAAGGGAGCGTTGAACTCGAAAGATCCGTGTTCCGGACGACGTCCGGCGACCAGAGATCGAAAGATGCCGCGGCGATTCTGGTGGAGGACGAGGCTTGCGCGCAGGGGTCCCGGTCAGTGCAACAAGTTCGGTGCTCGTTTCGCCGGCGTCGGTTCACTGACACGGGCGTCGATGCCGGCAAACGTCGTCCGGCAGGTGAACAGGGACGTCGACGACGCCGACGACGACGACCACGACGACGACGACGACGACGACAACGACAACGACGGCGGCGCCGGGGTAGCATGGTTCGTTGCTGTCCCTCGGAGAGCGACACACTCGACGTCGGGACGCCATCGTCGAAGGACGCATGAATATGTATACCGGCCGGCCTTATCTCGCGTCCGAATGAACCCTCGGTGTCACTGGACGATCCACCGTCGTGTTGCGCGCTACTTCCATCGTCGCCGACTCGTCGTGCCCGCCGGACGGTCATGCCGGAGTAACACGGGAACGGTTTTCGGGAACCGGAGGCACGCGATTTCTCGTCCGCGAGTGCGAACGCGACGTTCATTCTTCGAGGAAACATGTCCGGCCTGCCACCGGACTCTAGAACAGTGAATTCGAGAGCTTCTTTCGGCGAAGGAGCTTCGCGGATCTCCTTGTGACTAGTTCCTGCGAGCGTCGAGTTGACTGTTCGTTGGAATGCTCGACGATTGAAGAGGAACCGCTCGAATACTATTCGGTGAACTCGGTTCAGCCGGTTAATGGGTGTTCGTGACCTTAGCCTTCTCCGATCTCGCGTCCCCTTGACGAATCTGTGAAACGTTTCGAGTTAGAGAGGTTTTCCCGGTTGAAATTTAACTTCGCGTTCGGTGAAGCGGTTTTCATGCGAACCGGAAGTGCTTACTGGTAGGAGTACAGGGGTGGTTGGAGCTGGTGAATGTGGAGAGATCCCTTGCGTCAGAGACAAGATGAAGAGAGGCGATCGATCGATCTGCAGTGAACTGCAGTTATAAAATAAAAGTGCATCGTAAGCGTGGAGTCTCCGATCGATCGGGAATCCCCGGCAATCACGCGACACGTGGACGTTCCGCCGGCGTGCCGGAGCGCCGTTTTTTTCCGCCCCGGTTCCGACGGGCGACGGCTCGCGCAAAAACCCGGGGGACCTTGAATCTTCTCAAGAGGAGGAATTCTGGAACGATCCATCAACGTTTTGACAGGCTTCGCTGAACGGACGGACGATCTCCTGGAAGGGAGCCTTCAGTTCACCATTGAGGTACGAGCGAGCAACATCCTCCACGCGAGAACGTTGATTGGAAATTATTTATCGCACGACTTCGATTTATAAATTATTCTTTAATTTCCAAACGTCTCTTTTTGTTCTCTTTCGTTTGTAATCGTTTGTGAGATTAATCCAAGTCCTGGTAAAATTAACAAATTCTGGATGTGCAAGAAGTTAGAATAAATGTAAAGGAAACTACGTGTAACGATGTACGTGAAGTAATATTTTTGCATGTATTGTGCACGGTATACGATTGCAATTCTACGTAATTGAGGATCACTTCGGAGTACTTTGCGTAATATTGTTGACCAGTAGAACATCGCTTTCGTCGCTTCCATTAGATATACATCAGCAATGTTCTTGTGCTGATTGAGCTTCATTCTGCATTGATTCGCGGATTGCAGAACGTGGCTTAATCGATAAGTTCTTTGTATACTTATCCACAGAACTGATATACATGTACACCCGCCTCCTGAAACAAAATGAATAGACTGCGGATATTTGTACAAATATAGATTTCCGGAGACCAATTAACGGATACCGAAATCGGACGGAAATTCACTGGGTCTACTGACCTTGCTATGTTCATTACGCGTTTTCCAATCAAGCTTCCAAATCTTCAATGATCTACATTTGTCAAATATAAGAAAGTCTTTACGAATGTATTTCCTCAAAACTAGAACTGAAACAAAGCAAAGTTTTCATTTCTGACTGTTCTTAACTCCCGACTCGCGCAACAAAATACTTTCAACATAATAACCATACCATCCTATGCACCTTTCAAATCAAACTCGCTTCCAGCGTATCAAAACGAAATTAATTTTCACTGAACGATTCCACGAAGCGTCCGGTATATGACACGTTTCATACGTTGGGACTGCTGGGTGCTTAATCGTCTCTGGGATTGCTCGAACGGGTCCGCCGCGGAAGTTGTCAGTCGCGGAGACAACGAGAGCATCCCGGAGACTTGAACGCATGGCAGACGCTAATCTCTACCTTGTCGTTTCTTCCAGGACCGCCTGTCTGATCCCGGGACATCGTGATCATCCGTGGGAACGGGCAGAGGGGCGAGGGAGGCGGAAGGTGGCGGCCTTGCGCCGATGATCGCCGCTGAAAGTCAGTCGAGTTTGCGTGCCGGCTCCAGGCTGGGGCAGTACGAGGAGTTAGCGGGCGACGGAAGCGTGGGTGGCGGCAGCGAGGGCGGTGGAGGCCCCGCAACCACTACCTCCGAGCCAGGTGAGAGAGCTAATTACCTGGGCGAGATAGGAATCATCGTTAGAAGAACAACACACACGAAAAACCAGATCTTCCGGCTGGATACTGGCGCTAAAGTAGCGGGCGGGGAGACGCCGCCGACGCGTAATAATTACCCGCCGCCCCCGACGCCGTTACGGAACGATGATTAAATTTTGTTTAACCTGCCGCAATCGGAGCTGATCGCTCGACGATAGCTCTAAGGCCAGATCCGCGGGCGAGTTTAACCGGTACTCGGAGAAACGACGGCTCCGAGCCGGCTCTGTTTACGGTTACATCGGTCTCGCCGGGTTCCACGTGTTCGCCACCCGTGGGGCGTGGGCATTAACGCAGCTTATCGACGTCGTTAAGCTCCGGATTTTATCTTTGATAATATTAGCTTAAGAGGAAGCGGGCATGGCTCGCCTCGGAAGCTACTCAAGCCATTAAGCCTCGTTTCCATTTGTACAAGCGACCCGGTAGGCCGTTGATAAATTGACAAGCCCAGGCGTACACGCGAGATGACTTTGGTCACGGTTATAAGTCCCGGTTCTCGCGAATCCGCTTAAGAATACTCGATCACTCTTCTTCTTCTCTCGAAGAAGAGTGAGTTTACCTGAAACAATCGCTTCATCTAAAACACTAAATGTTCAAGCGTCAACGACGATTTCATAAGAATCTGAAACATCCGTTCGAAACGTTGGCCAGCTGAGCAACCCTGAAACCCGCAGGTGTAATGAGCAAAGAGGAGAAGGAGGCGCCACGAAACGAAACCTCTCCGAAAGAGTCCGTCAGCGCAGCAACAGTAACTACACCTAGCGGCGTCCCGACGACGGCGTCGGCCGCTGCGACCGTCATCGGCAACGCTACAACCACCACCACCACCACCGTTCCCAACGCGAACAGCAACACGACGCCGACGACGATGCCCGGTGGAGGCGCTCGGAGTGACGATGAACAGGAGGAGGAGGAGGCGGAGGAGGCCGAGGAGGAAGAGGTGGAGGAGGAGGACGACGACGAGGATGGAGTGGAAGTGGAGGGTGGAGCGGCGCAGGAGGCGGTCGGTGGCGGTCTTCTGGCGAACGAGGGTGGGGGTGGAGGCGGCATGGCCGGCTTCTGGAGGCAGAGCAGACCCTCCAGTCCCCGCATGCCGCCTCCGGAGCAGCCGGAGCACAGGCCTAAGAGCCGACATGAGCCGGCGCCCGCGAGATACAACAACCTCGGATACTGGAGGGCCCGTCGTGTCACCTTCTACAAGAATGGCGACCCGTATTTCCCCGGCATCGAGTTCAGGTGAGCTAATCCGCAAACCCGTCGCTCCGACGGGGACGTTCCGCATCCGCCCGCTGGCCCTAGTACCCTGCCAGGGTGCAGGTGGCGTGTCCACGCTCCGTGGCCTTGATTTCGGACTATGAATGAGATCCTCCTTGCGACACGAAAGACACCGGGGATCTATATGATCCCTCGAACGCGTATCAATGCACCGCTACACCCTCGCGACACGCTAAAGTTGATCCTCCTGCGAGGTGGCTTCTTGCTTCACCTCGTGCGCACTGTTAGCGGTTACCTGGAATTGTTGTCATTGTTATTGTGTCAAGGAGGATTTCAGTAACGTAATAATGCGAGAGTCGATGTACTTGGAAAGTATGATTTGTTTAGTTGCATGAGGGTAGTCTTTAGTCTGATGTTAAGTGTCCTTGATTCAGAGGATGACAATCTAAACGCTCTCGAAATTGCAGGTTCAAGCCGGGACGGGACATCGGTTCCCTGGAGGCCCTCCTGGACAGGCTGTCCCTTCGCATGGACCTGCCCAGAGGGGCGCGACATATCTTCTCCATGGACGGCGACAGGAAACTCACCCTCGACGAGCTCGAGGACGGCGCTTCTTACGTTGTCTCCAGCTACAAAACGTTCAAAGTGAGTCCTCCTCTCGTTATATCCTACGAATGATGCTACCATTGAAGCTATTCGGTCGTAAACTAACGTCTCACGTTCCACCGAGAGAATGTACTGCCAACGGAAACGGGAAGACTCGGTTTACGAGCCAGTATTTTCGATTGCGACTGAACCGACCGGATTCGTATCCTCCGCACGAAAAAGAGAGGCAGCCAATGCTCGTAGGACGACGCAGGGTTCGAAAGAAACGATTCCACCGCTGAAACAGAGAAGTAGAGAAGTCGTTAGCCGCCGCGCCAAGAGGAGAAGTATAGATTTTCGATCGCATTATGCGTCCCCCGGAGGAAATTGGCCGGGAAAAAACGGGGGTCTTAATCGCAGCGGCGGGAAAGTGGGTCGTTCGATCTGATACATTGCACGAAGAAGAAATAAGGTCCTCGGGACACATTGGATCGCGCGGCCGGCCGCGTGTGTGTACACAGATCGAATCGCAGGTAACAATCGCCACGAGGTCCGAGCCGGCAGGGACCGATCTGGTTTAGTGGGCCGTAACTCAGCGCGTGCAAGGACTTTGTAACGCGTAAGGCAAATAGTTCGCTTGCCTGATTCCCTGTAACGTTTCGTATAATTAAATGGCGAACGGGCGCGGAGGGGGCAGCGTTCACGGTTAATATTCATGAGGGTGCGAGGTCCGACCAGACGTAAACCGCGGTTCCTACGAACGTACGCCGACATTCCTGGGACACGCATACAACGGCGCACATCGATGCCGAGTTTAAGAGGGTCGGGGAACACCGATTTATAAGAAAGCTGCGTACATTGCCGCCAACGATCTTTGTGTATCTGGCCCAGATCAAGGCTCTAAGCGGGACACACGCAACCGCCCTCCGATTGGCTACCTAAAAATGCACATAACCGACGATCGGACGCCTCTCGATCATTCTGAACGGTACCGAGCGAAATCCGATGGAACTGATTCGTCGAGACCCAGAGAGCCTGGCACGTTCCAACCCCTGCAACGTAAATTAAGCGAAACTTACCTCGTAATAAAATGGCAACCGTAATAGCTGCTCATTTTAGATCCGTGTTTTAATAACAGCTTGCGATAAAGATTCTTTTTACTTTATACCCAAGTCACACGGGTACACTCAGCCCTTCGTGTTGAACGCGTTGATCGTCGCTGGTAATCGGAGCTGTAAAATTAAATAGACATTTAGCTTCTTTAACGGTAGCTTTTGCCGTTTTCCGAGAAACAAGGTAACGTTTAAGCGTCGATGCTTTTTAATCATTCTACGAATCGAAGTGCATCAGGTTCTTCCGTGTGTTGCTCCGAAGGGTGGCAAACATTTAAATCAGAGGTGTCCGGTTGCTCTTCGAATCATTGGCTCGGAGGTGTAACACGAGCATCCTCGAGGCTTGGTTGTCAGAGAAGTGGTCCAATTAATGGCCGACCCTTTTAACCCGGTTCCGCCGGCGGGGCGTTCATTATTTTTATGATGCTGCTGACAGGGGGGATCGGTTTCAGCCGGTGTTGCGTCATCCGTTAAGGATGGCCCACACCCCAACCTGATTTCCAGGTTTTAGGGTGTGACGGCTCGTTACATGCGCGACGTGTTCATCGTCATACGTTCCCGGCAGTACGCTCGCCTGTGTACGATCCGTTATTTCGATCGGCGCGGTTCTCTCGTGCCGGGTCAACCCTTAATCCGGCAAAGTGGCCGAAGCTTATGCACGATCCTATCGTTCTATGGACTTTGCATGCCGATCGTTTGGATTAGGGTCCGCGGGAATCGGCGGCCGCGGATCCCTGACCCATATTCTTAACGAGAATACATCGCCGGAACGCCTTGACCCATATCACGGATAGAGTAATCGATACCGAGCGGCTCCGCGATTCATATAGTCCACCATGCGACCACTCTCACCCCCTGTAATTAAAAGAAAAGAAAAATGATCGACGCGAAGCTACTCGCGTCGCTCTGAACGCGTCGCGTCGCGTCGCAGTCGGAAGATCGAAACTTTCACTGGGAGCCGAGCGTTTAATAAAGCGTCCAAACCGTCAATTAAAGTTTCTATAGAACTAGTACGCGCGCTTGGTTTTTTATTGCTACCTGCATGCTCAGTTGACTTGAATATCCTGTACCTTTTGTATTCGCGATATTACGACTATTCCTCTGAAACGTAGAATTAGATGACATAACAGTGAGAAGATATTTAAACAGAACAAGATTAAGTTCGACGATTACGTAATAAATGTCAGTGATCGTACAGCAGAGACAATATCAATTGTTTTCCTTTTGCATCTCAATCGAATCCCGGCGGAACGTTGTTTTGTTTAGGAATTATTCATGGTCCATCGAGTAGTCGATACATCGGCTAAGGGTGTTAAAAGGGTTAAGTAATTCTGGCATTGTTTACCAAAGCCACGTGGCACCGAGGATCGAGGTCTCGAGTAGGTGAATCCTGCGTCGAAATGGTGGGGATCGGAGCGTTTCACTTGGTGGAAAAGAGGGAGCAAGTATTGGTACAAGGAAGGAGGGGGCGAGGAAAGGGCTGGCCGCGGTTGCGCGCCAGCCCCTTGCTTTCCCTCTGCTTTCGATCCTTCCCCTCCACCCTCCGGCGAAACGACAATCCTATAGCGTTTTGCTTGACGCCTCATAATCGTCCACGCTTACTGCTCATCTGCATATTTTTCGCCCTTCCACACGTTTTCCACCTTTCTCTCTCTCTCTCTCTCTCTTTCTCTCTATGGATCGCGATAAACGACGCCGTTAAAGGTTCTCACGTTTCGTCGTATTGCATCGCAACGACCTGAATTTCTTTATGCTGTCATTAAAAAACTTATCCGATCCAGAGCGCCGTGGAACCGAATTAATAAGGGCGGGAAAAGTGGGTTGGAGGGTTAATTTGCACTTTCCATGTTTCCTGCCGCGTTCCGACGCTGTATTAGCAACTACGATAGATCTGGATACATTATAATGCGCTGGCAGCCGGGATCGCATGAACCAAGAGAATTTTCAGAACTTCAACGTTTGATTTTCAACAGAATTTTCTTATCAGTGGACATTCTTCAGTACTCTTCCGTTCCCTGCCAAACGTGCTTCTTCAGTTTCTCGCAGCCAAATTGTATTCTTATTTCTCATGAAATACTTGCACACTGAAAAAGAACAACTATAATTCTTGATATAATTAATGAAACATCTTTGCTCCTCTTTACCCCTGGTCACTCGAAGTCTTCATGCGAATCAAAGGCTACAGACAGGCGCAGAGACTCCAAGATTGAAGCCTGGCGTTGCCCGTGATTTTTCAAATTTGTCCACCGCTGATTTTCCATCTCTCGAAGCGTCCCCCAGGAGGCATGAATCACGAAGCAGCGTCGGGAGTGGTGGGACGGCTCGTACTTCCGCCAAGGAGACCGATGCAGGGCTCCTAGCCCGTAGGGCGGCGAGCAAGGGAGAGACCGTATCTCATTGACCGTTGGTCAGCCCCGCAAGGGATCAATAAACACCAAGTTCTCCGCACGGACGATTCACAATCCCGTTTCTACTACTGCCTTTCGGGGCATGACGAAATCGGGTGGGCCGACGTCATTCCTAATTTGCATTTCCAGAAAAATCAGCACGTCAAACCGAGCGCGCGCACTAACGTGGTCGTAGAACAATTCAGAAAACATCATCCGTGCCGTCGCTTTCTTGTCCTCGTTGACGAGAAGATCGATCTTACAGACGCTACGATCCGTCTTGAAGCGGTGCGTACTCTGAAATCAAGATTGACCGATCACATTCGATATCGACAGCATAAATTGACTTTTAAATTCGAAGAAAAATCGTGTCGCCTGTATATAGCCGACAGGATCACGAAGACAGAATTGGTAACCGGCGAACGAAGACAGGAAGGAATTAAAGGAACCGCTGATTTCCTATCGGCGAGCATCGTTTTTCTCGAGCACGTGCCGGAAGCGTGGAATCTCCGATGGCACGGAACGCGTTCGCCGGGGTCGGCCAGTTCAAATCAATAGCCCCCCATCGAAGATACTGGATGAACGTCGCCGGCGTGTATTATGTACGCTTGTGGCCGGGGTTTGCAGTAGTAATAAACTGTTACTTCCGACCGCAGCAGTAACACCGTTCGCGAGAGACGGCCAGAACATAATTGATTGCGTCAACTTGCAGCCGCCTCTGATCGGTGCTATATCTTCGACCGGTTTCTCGTCACTTCCGCTCCTCCGCAACGTACATTTTTCACCGTATTATCGGTCCGGCCCGTCGCCTCGCGCCGCGTTGCCTGCGCAGCGATAATATTCAATTATAATTTAACACGTGTGCACGACGTCGATCGGCCTAGAAACCAAGTCGCCCGCGGGCCACTCTGCCTCGCTAATATTTCTGTTTTACAATGTTATCTTCAACCGGCTATCGCCGGGCACGATCTTATTTTACGTTGTAAAATATTAATGCAATAGTTACCTGAGTTTACCGGCTGCGCTCTTAGATGAAACCGACGACGATAAGGTTCTGCGACTATCGTAATTGGCCGCTTTAGCTGAAGTTCCCATGTTGGACCTTTCCAGTTAGATATCTCTGTTTCATTGAATAATGAAACAAGTGTTGCGATCTTTTAGATATTCCGCGGTTAAATTATCGTTCAATGTAATTAACGGTGTACCTTTTAGCCGACTCCAATCAATGTAGAGCAATGTAGCGTTGAATTATTCAGTGTCCGCGCCGTTAGACCGTCCAGCTGGCCACGTGACAGTGACACGGGGCGACGACGCATCGGGCATCGATGTCTCCGAGTTTGATGCCGCCCGCCGTTCGCGCCGCTGTAATTCACGGGAATGTAATATTCGGAGAAAACAATCGTTCGCGAATGTATGAAATACGAAGGAAAATATCAGCAGGTTCACGAAACGCGCCGCCCCTTGCCGTGCCTGGAAATTCTCCTGCGTTATCGTAACGACCTTTATTTCATTCATTGTCACTGCACACACCCTTCGTTATCGAGATCGTAAAACAGGGCCC